CGTCGGGCTGGAGCGGACCGAGATATTTCTTAGGCAGTCTCGGTTATCTTTCCACACTATACTCGTTTGAATACTTAAGGGACGACATCTGCGTAAGAAGATGTGTGAAGAGAGAGGGAAAGGGAGAGAGAGGTTGCACAGCCAACCATCCGTCACGACTTCCGGAATTTCACTGTTGGTTGAGACAATCTACAGTGTCCCGCAAACTATTTTCTTTCATTGAACCAAGCATATTATTTGTGTCGAGTCATGGAGCAATTTGGAGGTTACGCACAACACAAATCACGTACTTGAGATTATAACATTCCCTCCCTTTCCCTCCGCCGTCTTCCTGCACGCGGCGTGGTTTTATGCCGCGGCGCCGCCCCCACCGCTGCCCCCACCGCCGCCGCACGCGCGCTCGCCCACTCGCTCAATCGCTCTCACTTACATGGCGCCACGCGCGTCTGCCGTCTCCCGCCTGCTGCCTACCGGTCGCCTGCTGCGCTCGACTGCGGGCGCCGGCGTGGAGGGCGCGGGCGCGGCGCCACACCCGCCCCTCCCCTCTCCTCACCTCGTCACGCCCCCACGCACCCCGCCGCGACGCGCCCGCTATCTAGCGGAGAGAGGCTGCGCCGCTCCTAGTGCGCGCTTTGCGAATGGCCCTCGGCGGTCTCATTGCCCTTATGTTTCTTCGTGTTCTTTTCTTCCCTCTCCTCTTTCTCCTCCGCCACTTTCTTCGTATCCTTGTTGTCCATCTTGTCCAAATGACTTTTCTTAATTTTCACCAACATTGATTTTCTACACATCGATCTGGATTCTGTTTGGTGCTGCATTTTATGAATCCCTAGGATATGTTCAATTTTTTTCAAAATATGGCTCCAATTTTTGTCCTGAATTTTGGTTTTCTTTTTGCACGAAAATGACAAAATACGCTCAACTGTGGGCGCCGGCATGGAGGGCGTGGGTGCTGCGCCACACCTACCCAGCCTATACACACCCGCCCAGCCTCTATTTGTTTAAAAATTCGCTCAGTGGGGATATTGACTTATAACTCATATTTTCAGCATTCTTGATAGTGATACATACATTTCCTTAGCATTTGAGATGTAATATAAATTACATTTCTTCCCACTTAAGTCTTTCGCTCTCCTCTACCACTGAATTTTTTTTTCTGTGTACCTTTCCTTAAAACAAACTAGCGGTGCTACAACAGCACACATGTTGTAGAATACGTATCTTTTTTTGAAATTTTAGAAGCTTAAATGAATTTCTAGTGAATTGCTAGTAAAATGTTCGTTTCATGTACGTGAAGCCGCGACATCAGCTTTAGATCCAGGCTATCAATTTTGGTAAAAATTCTGTGGGTGGTTAAGCCGCTTATGTTTTTCACGGCACACAAACGAACGAACAACAGACTGACATCTGCAGAATAACTACTAGTTCGTTATCAAGGACCCAGAAAATATGGCTTTTGACAATACTACGAATACAAAAAAGTAATTTTCTATATAAAGGAAGAAGAAAAATCTTTCAATATCAAGGACGCAATAAAGTTGTTTTCTGTTAAAAAATCAGCATATAATGCAACAGCATTTCATAACTTTCTCTATTTACAGTGTGATTTGAGTTACTACTCCATGTTAAAAAGTTCGATAGCTACTCCATGTTAAAGTATTCATTTCCGATTGCCTTTTATGTTAACTGTCCCGGCGTGAGTTCACAAAAAGCTTATATCTCTGCAGAGGGCTCTCCCATCTCGTGACATCATCCGACCTCTTCAATTTCAGGCATGGAGCCAAATCCTTTAGAGATATCTTTTGTGCTTCATATACAGAAATGTTGCTCTCTAGTTTTGAACTCGAAACTTTCACGAAATGTACGTCCATTTCATTTTGTCCATTCCGTTACTCGATACTATTGTGAAATTGTATAGCAATTAGATAAAAATAGAAAATAAGATAGGTAATAATTCATTTACGATTTACTTGAGTTCATACACACAAACATACACCACTTTTAAGTCGTTGGAAACCAAAACAACTGTTTAGATCTTCCGACTTATTATAACGATACCTCATAGTGGATCACAGTGCTCGTAGCGGATGTTAACTTCCGTTCTGTCTTTTCACATGAGGAGAGGAAAATCAAAGGTTAGGGTCTGAATGAACGGGTTCCCGAACGCTTCGAACGAATCAATAGAATCGTTGCAGCGCAAAGACCGGCGAACGGCAGTGCGGCACCTCTCCTCTGCTCGTGACACAGTGGTCTGCGAGGAACGTACTTGGACCGGAATATTTTGGGTCCTGAAAATTCATTCTTTTACTCTATATCTCATACAACGAAATTTTGCGTACATGAAAAATATATTGCATTATACTTTATAATGTAGAGAGTTTCGATTGTAAAACGTCCACTGTTTCCCACTACATATACATTTAGAAACATAATAGTGCCAATGCTCAGAATTTGTTGTTTACAATTGACTCCGACCAGTAGATTTTTTAAATTATATCTGTATTTTTCCAGGTTCTCTATAATTGAAACGGCAAATGAATTTTTTAGTACAAAATAGTTAATTTAAAATTTAATAAATATAACTGCCTTATTTTAAAAAAAAGGTTTTGAAATGTATTCCAATTTGCAGGATGATATTGAAAAATTTAGCTGTGAAGTCAGTGAAGCGGTAAAGGTATTAGCAACTTTCAATGATTCTTGAAACAAAAGTTAACAAGTAAATAAATAAATAAATAAATAAATAAATAAATAAATAAATAAATAAATAAATAAATAAATAAATAAAATTTTAAGTAAATAAATGCTGACATAAAGTTGAGACTTTTCTGAACGTCATTTTCCTAGGTTCAGACTGTACTTCCCCCTTTTTTTCTGTAGCCCATACCTATCTCACGGCACTGCATTGACCTCCACCTTGCCACCGCACTGCACCACCCCACCCGTTTACGCTCTGCCCTGCCGCGCCTTCTTCACCCTTCGCTGCACCGCGCCGCCCCGCCCCGCACAGCGCTGGCCCAGCGCGGTGTTCATCGCCGTTGTTTTGGCCGCCCGCATTCGCCGTCGCCCGCACCCTCTTTCGCCGCCACCCCCGCCCCCGCTCTCTTCGCCGCTCTTGCCTTTCCTTCATGCGCATCGCGGCCGTCGGCGACCCGACCGCCGAAAGGGAGGTGGCAGTTTCATGAATTTTGGAGAAACACACGTGTTCACGCCTGCGGTCCCAGCAAGCGAAGTCATCTGCACGGATTCAGAAGGCATGCAACCGTAAGCTGATCGTAACCGATTGAAACGATTAAGTGTTTGGGTCTGGGGCCGTAGTTTGTTGAAGGAATAGGCTGCATAGAAGCTTTGAGGTATAGAAGACCGCACATTGTGTGCGTAGGCGGAAATTGAAGGGCTTTTCATGTGAACTACGCATCTAATACATTTGTCATTTTAATTGCCATCACATCATAATATAATAATAATAATAATAATAATAATAATAATAATAATAATAATAATAATAATAATAATAAATAATTTCCCCTACATTCACGGCCGAAGTTTTTATAATTATATGATATACTTCAGCTTCCTTAAGGAACAGATCTAATGATTATGGGTACATCTACATCACTTTGTGCAAAACATGGACAGTTCTGAAAATCCGATATCTTGCAATTCCCAATATTTTGAATGATTTAGGAGTTTGGTAAAGTTTTTTCATAAATTTTGCGAGAAGAATCCTACAGTTCCGATAACTATACGACTTGGCTTTTTACTGTCCACATCCGAATGATTTCGATTTTCAATTTCCTGTACTTAAAGTTTTCTCCGCCCTTGGTCATAATATCCTGAGCGCATGGTGCAGGAAACCTCTACTACAAGTACCGGCAGCGTATAAGCTACTCTGACAATTCTCTCGCCACGTGCTGTGGCACGTCATGTGACTGGCTCTGAATTAATTTGCGAGGATGTGTTTACTTTCTCACAGCCAGCGTTCCGCGTTGCCGCTCATGTGACTCACAGGCAGCCGCGGAGACGATAATGTTCGGCTGAAGCGAAGAATGTGAACATGATATCAAGATGTGTCGTCGCATGTCAGTAAGTGGTAATATTTTGAGATTTAATTTATCTGTCATGTGGGTGGTGCCATGGGCGTAGTAATGTGTGGCAACAGCGCATCGAACTGTCAGAGTCGCTTATACGTTGCCGGTACTGTAGTAGACAGAATTTGTTCTCTAAAATTCCCGAAAAACGAATGTTTTTACTATCCTATAATTATGGATTTCTTGGTCATTCAATGTTGGTCAGAGACCAACAGATGTCACAGGTTTTGGCAAGTGTTATTTTCACTTGGAAAGTGTATTTTAAACTTTGACGAAACTTTGATTCGCCTGTGAAACTTGGAGTCGCCTACAGACTCTATCATACGTCTTAATGCATTTGAACTTAACTATTAAAATTTAAATAGTTTCTACCTGTTCTACAAAAATATAGCATACATCTTACTGGAAAACGTGAAAAATTACAATTTGCATAAATGCAACTTTTAGTAAAACCCTTTGACAAGTAAAATAGTGGAGATCAGACTTACAGATGTAATTGGTTAAAGATAAATATAAATATAGATAACACGGCTAAAACGCATCAGATTGTTTATCATTCACTATGTTATAAAGACTTCTGTGAAAACAGTGAACCTATCTTTGATACACACGCTGTTGGAATATGTCTAAAAGATGTGTGTCTAAACGACTAGAACAATTATCAGATGAACTAAATGACGATAATCTATCAGATAACAATTATCAGACGCAGCCAGTGGCAACAATCGCAAATTGGTCAATATAGCCCCGGTGACATCTTCAGGGTCTCTCTAAAATCGGTTTACGGTTTCCTAGAAGAGCGCGGACCCCAGTTGGAACCTATTACTGATATTAAAGGAAATTTTGAAAAAAAAAATAGCATTGCAGAAATTAAATTTTGTCCTATTAAATATAATGAATAATTAATATGGGACTTTGATTTCGTCCCCCTATTTCTGATGGGTTTCTCTCAGTATTTCATAACACCACGAATGACACGAATGTAGCCTGAGTCATGCTTTATTATATTCAGGATCAACGCATTCAAAACGTCTTGAAATATGCCGGTAAATGCTTTCTTATTGCCATTAAGAGATATTTATACGGATTAAGAAAAGAAAATACCGCATTTGATCTAATTGCAGCTCTGACTATTACACTTAACATTTTCAATATAAACTGCTTCTCCTTTGAATGCTTGTAGACACCACCAATTTTCGGATAGAGCTCATCATCATCATCAGCAGCAGTAGCAGCAGTTCGGTCGGATGATTCTCTACATCCTATAAGAGAATTTTAGAAGACTTGCTCTGATCAGTGATTTCCACTGATCAATTAATTCTAAGCTGTTGCAGAATACTAAACAAAAGGCCAAAGACCGCTCGTTATCGTGCCCCCTAACCCTATTCCTCCCTATACCTATTCAACCCCTATCCATTTTCTATCCCTATCTATTCGCGATCGTACCTTCCCTGAGTTATAGGCGATGGCTTAATTCCCATCCATATAGCGCATCCCCATTATCTAGAAATACTGTGGTAGTGCTGAGTGTAGCCGGACATTAGGTCATGCCATTGGGTTGTAGCGTCATAGAAGGAAGATATGTTGTGTTTTACACTTATTTTCTATATAGTGGTGGCATCCTAACGTTTAGCCAGACAAGAACAAATGTGAGGCTATGGGCTCCATGGATATTGCGTGGCTCATTTGCAAGGTCTCTTCACGTAGTTGGGAGGCAGCTGTCAAGCGACATGCTACCGCAAGCCGTGTGTCAGGCGTTACATTTCGACCAATTAGAATGGCTATGATGGGCGTTAAATAGTTGACAGACAACGGACAGTCACACAAACCAAGGAAAAGTGCAAACCACAGTAAAAATGCAAACACGTGAAATACACGATAGAATCTCTTAAATATATCCGTTTTCGCGTATTTATCACCGAAAATCCGGTCATACCATGGCATGATTCAATTTAAATTACATTTAATTAGTTTTATAAATAATCACTCAATACTTTTGACGAGACTTTTTAAGTAAAATTATGTTTTATTATCAATTATGTCTTAGTTTCGCGGACTTCCCATTTTTCTATACCCTGCAGGTTTTAATGAAGCTAATAAGATTATGTCTCAGGAAACGGTGTGTATAAAAGGTAGAATAACATTAACATTTTGGTCTGTTGAAATATGTTTGGCTGATAGTTTTGAAAGGTATATTTGGCAGTATACAGGTGTTAAAAGCTGTTATTAATACTATTAGAGTGAATAAACGCGAGAATTTCAAGTACATGTTTACCAGTTTCAATGCGAAATAAAATATTCAAATTCTGTTATTAGTAGTTAACGGCACACGTTTTGTAGCAAGAATTGTCAAAGCTAAAAAAAAGGACAACAACCATAGTAGGTAAGGCATGAATACGTAAAAGATCAGCAATAACCATTAGAAGGGCTAGATTGCAGAATTGACCTCAGTGAAGACAAAGCGATAGCGGAGATTTGTAAAAGATTATCTTGTATTGAACGCTGAGTAATTTCATCAGAAATACGGGAAAGCACGTCGCTGATACTACAGGTGCTCCTCGAACACGAATGTGGATGAGGAGTTCACACAGTTTTAGTGGAACAGGCTGGCATGAAGTATAGGAAGGGTGGGACAAACGTCAACCTGAAATGCATGCCTTTTTTAGTATATTTAACTAGCGGAACCCGGAGACGTTGTTCTGCCCTGTATCTCTCCCTTTCTCCTTCCCTCTCCCTGTCTGTCTCTATCTTAATCTCAGTATTTCTACTCTCTTTCTGTCTTTCTCCCTCTGTCTCTCTCTCCGATCTCTCTCTCTCTCTCTCTCTCTCTCTCTCTCTGCCTGTCCTACCTCTCTCTGCCCCTCTGTCTGTCTCCGTGTCACTGTCCTTATCCATACCTTTCTCCGTGTCCCTCTGTGTCTCGATTTATTTACGTCAAAAAAGTTAAAATCTCTGTGTGACGTGCTACGGGAAGAAGTGAATTTTGTGCTCGTTTTCATAATTCTGTGTTCCCTACCCTAAGCCATACACGAGTTCAATTTTGAATATAGAAAGAAAAAAGAAAAAAGGAAAATTATATAAGACTGTTATAGAAAATATTGCCCTTTATGGATCTGAGGTGTGGAAAGTAACAAAAAAACAGTGAAAGAAATTGAAAGCAATGGAAATGGCGCCGCGACTTCTGGCGCCGAAGTTGCGGACTGACATTAATGGATAAAGATAAGTACGAATAAATTAAACGTAAAGCGGAAGTAAATTTTAATATAATTGACACCATAGAAGTGAAAAGACTAAAGTGGTATGAGCACATGCAAAGAATGAACGAAGAACGTTGGCCGAAAATATTTAGGAAATGGCAACCAGCCACCCAACAACGAAGAGGAAGACCTAAACTTACATAGGGAGAGGGAGTGGATGAGGCAATGTTGAAGAGAGGATTGACTAATGAAGACTACACCGATAGAGAAATGTGTAGGCTGAGATGCGAGAGACACCCTAGGGTGTAATATAACTCGCTACACTAAGACTACTACTACTACTAGAAAGAAAAGAGCGCTTTTTGCAAGGATTGTGAACAAAACATTCGGTCCGATGTAATAAAATTTATTTTCAAGGGTAAATCAGTTATAGACATGGGCTCTTATTTCTCATCATGTCCTTCATGAAGAAATATTACCTCTTACCACGACATGGAAAAACATAACATAAATAGCTTTATTTCCCTCTGAATTCTGGAAGACGTGAACTGATAATGAAGTTACGTTTATGTCCAGATGCAAAACAAGGAGCCATTTCAGCGTTTGCTCGAGGATCAGGGAAACTGGTCGAGAACCTGATCGAAATGGGGATCATTGACCCTTAAGCTGAAGTACAATACTTGTTACAAATTCTTGAAGAAACTGTTGTGCAGCAGAAAAGATTTTACTTAGGACTTACAGTTTTGTATCAAATCTAATCGTTTAATGTCATCTGGCAAGGTGTTGTAAAATAATGTACATGTATTGTATGCGAATGTTTTGTAGAGAGCTGTTGATACTCTTATCTGATGAATATGATTACTATGTCGAGAGTGGTAGTTATAGGCAACGGCGTTTGCTGAAAATATATTTCCGTCCTTAAGTAAATCATTTTTGTCAAAAACCACTGATTCATATAATAAGAGACAAGGTAGTG